GGACTTGCAGGGCTTCCCTAGTCGTGCTTTACAAATGCTCGCTTTGGCAACCTCAAAAAACTTTTCACTTTAGCCCGGGGCAACCTGGAGCCAGTGTATGATAGCGCCTTAGCTGGAGCAGCACGTCGAGGGGGGTGTAGATTTTACCCTGCCTCCACAACTACTTCTGATGTCCTTAGCTGATTCTTTACGCGACGCGCTACGGGCTCAAGTCCCCATACGGACAAAGTCCGCCAGGGTTGACTTAGCGGTGCCTAGCCGTGTCTAGCTGTAGACCTGGGAAACTTCAATAGGCGGCAATAAGACTCACAATGCCGACCCCCGGAACCCGTAGATTCTGAGCAGCACTGGCGCGAGAATGTTGGAGCCGGACTTACTGCAACTACATCTACATCACCTTGAACTCGGAACCCTGCTGCACCAAAACACAGACACAAACTGTAGAATGTCAGACCGAAGGTGAGCGGCAACATGTTGGAGGTTCCCATCGAGGATTTGTTCTTGCCCCTGTTGGCTTGCAAGGCCCTCGCACAAATCAAAGCATCACGCTGTGGGCTCCAAGGCCCTCTCCCCCGTTTTGATGAATCCTGGCCGCTGATGGTGGCTTTAAGGAAGGTGGATCTTTCCCACAACAGGGTCGAGCAAGTCCACTTCTACTCAAAGTATGTGCATTTGCTGCAACTTCGCTCATGTGGGCGGGTTTTTTTCTGGCCTGCAGTGCTGGAGAACATCGTCAGGAATTACGTATTCTTGGACATGAGGGGGACAAGGCTCGCCAGCTTTCAAGCGCAGGAGTTCTTTGGCTCGGGACTGCTGAGGGTCAGCAGCACGCGCAACTTCATCAGCAAACTGGAAAGCATCGAGTGCTTCGGCATTACAACCCCATCGCTAGCTATCAGCAGTGAGGTTTTCGCACCAGAATGGCTGTGCCACTGCTTGGCTGGGTGGCATGGGAGTGGTGCCAACTGTTCCCGCTGCCCAAACAACACCTACAGCAATTTCAATCAAACGGTGTGCACCCGCTGCCCCGAAGCCAGCACTTCTGCCCCTGGGGCGAAGTCCCCCTTCGAGTGCCGCTGCAAAGACGACCAGGCACCAGTTTGGCGTCAAGATACCTTTTCATGAAATTACAAGCAGTAACAGCGTTGATGTAAGTACTGAGTCTCTTGGTTTTGATTCATTTTCACGTGCAGATCCGGTTCTGGAGCAGGCAGTGTACCGTCAAGCAGATGGCAACTTTGCCTGTGGTTGTCCGGCCATGTATGCGTTCACCGGACAAGATTGCCGGCATTGCTACAAGCTGAATCTGCAATGCGAGAAGGCCGGAATCTGCCGTGCTTCAGGAAAACTGTAGGCACCAGAGCCACTAGCTTTCAGCAGCATGCACCGGTGCTGATCTGCCTTGTCCCAAGTTTCAACTGCGCCAGGGTTGTGGGTCCATTTTACCAGCCTTCTGCGAGGAGGGTACTGTCGCATCTGCTGCTGCAGCTCAGATTGGCTACGCGCGCGTTGAGAGCTTCGGTGGCAAAATCATGATAGACGTTTTGGACTAGCCGACACGGCTATGCTTTTCAGTGATCCGTAGCGGTCCCCACTGCAGGAGAGGTGCGGAGCGAGTGTTCAAGTGCTTGGCGCCAGCACAAGCCCGATGCAATGGCACCTTCGAGGAGCCGGTGGCTACAGTGTTTGTGATGTCTTAGCCCTACGTCATAGGTTCACCGCATGGGGTGTATGCGGTTCTGTGAAACATGTCGGATGGCAGCATCGGGCCGTTGCTTCAGCATGACACGAGTTCTGCACGTGGAGCGAGATGCATGATCCGGAACCAACCATTTAGAGGAGGGAGGCTCTTCGCATTTGCTTGGATGCGCACCTGGTGTCTGAGCCCTGCAATTCTGGCATTTCTGACATGTCTTGTCGGTTGGTTCACTTACGCATGCGAGCGCGTCAATCGCGAAATTTCCTGTTAGAGTTCTCGCTGTTGCCCGGAAACTGCCGAGGCTATGACGGCCGTCTGTGCAGCATGTGCGCTGAACAGCATCGCTCAGACGGCCGCTTATGTCGAAAGTGCTTAATGCTGGATGACGAGGAGCCGCATGAATCCTTTTTTTTTTCGAATGTGTTGACAAAAAAGGACTGGCCAGTGCGCAAACACACCCGCGGTCTGCAAGGACTGGATGCCGAAGCACTCCTTGCTTGCCCTCGTGGCCGTGATTGCGGTGTTGGTGCTGCTGGCGGCCGTACTCCTGCTTTTTGTCTTGTGGCCGAGGCCAGAGGAGCGATAGGCGTTAGCGTGTAAGGCTTGATAGCTGCACTGCACCCCATACTGGATTCATCAGACAGCAACAGCACACCCGTGACCTTGCGATATCGTGTTGCATCGTCAGACCATGTCCCGTGCCAGGTCAACGGTACATGAACAGGCAGGGTCTGCGACGCAGCGGCAGGCGTGCGACTCGAAAGGTGCCTTGCTTCAGCTGCTACTGGGCCAAAAAACTTTGTTCCCCAGGTTAAGAGGTTAAGACCCCTTCTGCCCTCAATTTCTCAGACATGCTGCAGTTTCCCACGGCTTGTGCACTTGAGGATTGTTGCTTTGGCACCGGTGCTGCTGCAGCTTGTCCAGCTCTGGGCTGTGCTGTCCGCTCTCTCGAGGCTGGCGAGGGGCAGTTGAGAGCAAGACTCTCGAAGAGTCACCTTGTCACATCAGTTTCTTTTTCCCCTGCTCTCCCAGCACTGCCTTCATGGCTGCTTCATCAGGCCAAATCAAGAACGCAAAAGCGACACGGCCGGCTCCACATTTGTAGACAACTTGTGGGAGATGCATTACGTCAAGGTAATGCAACTGACGGTCACGGCATTTCAGGACCAAGCTGCTGGCAGTCTTCGTAAGCAGAGCCTTTCATCGGATGTCTCGGCATGCTCGAGCTGTTTTGCGGGGATCAATGTGGGGCCAAGCTGGAGAATGCTTTTGAACATCCGGCATAGTTAACTATGCATTGTGGCGATAAGCCTTCCTGGAGGCGAGGAAGCATGTAGTGAAGCGTCTGTCAAGTGGAGGACAGTCTCCGCCTGCAGTGCCGCTTCAGCCAACGCAGCGCAATGCTTCTTGTGGTGCTGGGGGCGCCGCTGACGCCACTGGTTCTTCTCATTTTCTGCGGGGTTGTGGAATATGCGCATCCTGCCTTCGGAGCCCTTGACCGCAAGCAGCATCTGCCTCGCCCGTTCCTTCTGAACGGCACTTGCCCTACTCCTCGTAACTCTGAGATGTGTGTCAGGAGTCAGCACTGCATTGAAGGCAGGGCTCTCAACTCATGATGGGTGGCTTGAAAGACACGTTGACAGCTTCTTGGTGCCTTTTCTAACCGGTGCTGTGCCGATTTGCAGGTCCTTACTTTCTTCTTCATTGGTGGCGCGTCCAGTTCCGCAGACCTCTGGATTTGCCAGCGTGTTGATGGAGGAAAGCTGCAAAGCAGTTGTGAGGAACATGGATGTTTTGCACGTGTTTGCGTTTGGGGTGCGTGCCGTTTCGCAAAATTCAGAGGAGGCCATGGCCTTTCACGGTGTAAAGGCACGTGCCTCAATTCGAAGAAGAGCAAAGCGAATGCACATGTGCGGGATGCGGTTCTTCTTCACAGATTTGCAGTATAAAGCAGAGTATGAGTAGGGGCAAAACAGCATAGAACATTTGGTGCTAACGGGATCATCTGGTACACAGGGGCATTGTGCACCCTAAATGACTCAAAACAAACCGCGCTACCCAGCATGCCAGATGTGACCGGATCAAATTGAGATATCGAGATGTCTTTTCTTTGATTGAGATCTCAGAGCCGCTCGTAATGTAAAAATGTAATCAACGGGCTTTTTTTGCACGGCTTGAGTCAAGCTGCATTTCCGGTTCTTTACGTTCGTACTGTACCGTTACATTTCCGGACCGAGGAAACGGAGAACGTGTTGACAGGCAGAAGACGAAGATACGACAGCGTGCTATATTAGTGGCCCAGAGCATACCATGGAAACCGTGCTTTGCCCGCGCCTGGGGTACTTCTTCTTGCATGTAGTATGCCGATGCTTCCTCACCAGCAAAAGGTTTGCTCTTCGTGTTTGAGTATATTCTGATAGAACAGACCATGCCATGGCATAGTATAGTGTAGCGTAGCGAAGTATACACAGGTACAGACAGGGTGCTCTGGAATGTTTCAGTAGCTTTGAAACTCAGAAGAAAAAGTCATCGTCAATGTCTCCTTAGACAACCGGGCAGCTGCGATGCCCAATCGTCTGCTTCTTTTTCCAGGTCTTGACTCACCAGTGTTCAAACGCCATAGGACCGAGCAGAATGATGAATACGTCAACGTCTACGGTAGTCGCTACAGTAACATGGGGCCAGGCATGGATGCTCTGCTGGGTCTATGTTATAGTCATGCATGAGAAATGGATGTTAATTTATGCCATGCTCATGCCTGAGAAATGTGTGTTTATACCGTGGCAGGACCTAGGACGGCTCCGCTCCCGATTTTTGCCCAAACGGCGGCCGATACCCGAAAAAGTGCGCTCGGATGCGGTCGGAGTCCGGGCTCGAGTTGTAACCGGAGCTAACAACAGCAGCAACAACAACAGCGGCAGCAGAGTTCTGGCGCGCAGTGGGTTTTTTTGCATGAACCTGGGTGGTTGTCGAAACTAGGGTCCTTTTTTGGGTCCCTAATGTAGTACGGCACTTAATATTTAGGGTACCCAAAAAGGGACCCTAATTTTGACAACCACCCACTTGTCATTGCACTAGGAGGCGACAGCTTGGAAGAGGAGGAGTTCCGGCTCGTGCTCCCGTATTTGAGATGCGCAGACCACGATGCCTTGGCCGGCGCCTCTGTGCGAGTTCTTGCTGCAGGCAGAGCCAGCAGAAGCGAAGATCTGAGGTCGATACTGTGGCCTGGATCGCGGGCATTAGCTACACACTGCTAATCCCTGCCTTCCTCGGCCACCTCTACTTGAGACAGCTCCTGGTTATGAAAAGGGGGAGATCCTGGACTCCAGCGGTGTCTGGCAGCGAAGGCGAGAGAATTATCCAGCTCCAGTCTTTGGATGATGTTGCCGTGAAAACCGAAGATGCTTCGCCGTCGCTGAAGGCCATGGCATGGTTGTAGCATTTGCATTGTGTCGTTCCTCGTGTTCGTGATGGTTTGGCTTTTCCCGAGGGCTCCAGTTTCCCAACCAGTAGGTTATATACTAACCAATACATATATATATATATATATATATATGTATTATTATATTATATTATATTCTATTCTATTCTATTCTATTCTATTCTATTCTATTCTATTCTATTCTATTATATTATATTATATTATATTATATCGTATTATATTATATTGTATTATACTGTATTATATTGTATTGTATTATATTATATTGTATTATATTATATTATATTTTATTATATTATATTATATTGTATTATATTATATTATATTATATTATATTGTATCATATCATATTATATTATATCATATTATATCATATTATATCATATTATATTATATTATATTATATTATAATATATTATATCATATTATATTATACCATATCATATTATATTATATCATATTATATCATATTATATCATATTATATCATATTATATTATATTATATTATATTATATTATATTATATTATATTATATTATAATAGATTATATCATATTATATTATACCATATCATATTATATTATATCATATTATATCATATTATATCATATTATGTTATATTATATTATATTATATTATTTTATTTTATATTATATTATATTATATTATATCATACACGCCAGTGACCTACTATTTAGTCAACTGGAGCCCTACGTGTTGAGGATCGGGGCTATGAAAAGCGCCTGGCGGCCTGCGCGGCAGCCTACGCAGCAGTTATGCTCTCCGGGCCTGTTAAGGCCGAGCTGCGAGACAAGACGCTGTCCCTTGTCGGCAGCTCGAGAGCCAAGGAACGTTCAGGTTCATCTGCAAGGGAGATAGTTTCAACGCAAGTTCCAACGGCAGTATGACCCCAGGATTCTCACACCATTGCAGGGCGAGTGCAGCAATGAAGTCTCCGACTTCGACGACGCTTAGCGATCCAAGTATTTATCTGGTGTCCGCCACGACACGGCATGCTTCCCCCCACCCGCGAAATGTCTCCCCAAGTGGAGCTGAAAATTCAAGTGCCATCCTGCGAAGATATTGCATAGACCCTGGGACTAGATACAGGCAACACATCCTTGCAAGGGTTTTGTGCTTGTTCCCAGACGCTGGTGCAGCTGAGGTGGTGGAAGTGGTCGGAACCGATGCCCAGGCAGCAGCAACCCGCGTTTTCGAGAGACCATGTCTTAGTCTTCAGCCTGCAACAGTTCTCTCTGCTCGTACGATTTGTCGCTCTTCTTTGCGGACTAGGGTCCAGACCTTTGGTCTAGGCCAGGGGCTGTTGCAGGTGGCGCAGCAACGGATCGTCCGCTACCGCGCAATCATGGGGATGCTCATACAGCGCTGTGTCCTGAAGGAAGTGGAGATGTCGGAACGCCTCGTGTCTACTGATCAGCTGCGTCGAGTTTTGCATGACATGCGTGCGACCATCGTTGACTCGAATGGACGTTCGTCGACCATCTCACCTTAGGTTCATTAACAGGGGCGAACGATGTTATTGCCAAATATGCGGCTTCCTCAGACCAGCCCAATCTTCGCAAGGCACTGTGAGTTTTGCAAGGAAGTTGAAAGTCTGGAGCCTGCCACAGAGCTGAAGCTCAGGCCCTCTCTGGGAACATATGGATGGAGGCTGGCGCTCTGACATGGAAACGAGTTTTGAATCTGTCAACCTTCGAACTAGCTCACCGGAACCTCAAGTTCTGACTCTCAGTCTTTGAGAGGACTTGCTCCGTTGGTATGTGTAAGTCCAGTGCAGCCTCGAAGCTTGCAACTGCAAAGCATGACCAGCTTTAGCTCTGTACCGGACGAGAAGCCCCGAAGTCTTGAGAAACGGTTCTTAGAATCGGCTTGCCTCGTGGACAATCACATCAGTCCGGTGGAAAGGCTTTTCTGAAGTTCGTGGCCGTCGCGTTGGTAGCTGCACCCCGGCGGACAGCAGCGGAGACAGATGAAACTTCAAGGTCGAACAAGCTCAAGGGAGATGTTTTTGGCTTGTACGCTCGAGAAGTAGCCATTGGCTGGAGTTTCGTGGCTGTGATGGGGACACAAGTCTTGGCCAGCTAGAACCATGTGGAAAGCGAAGCCACGATTCGTTTAATCGAGTGTTTCTTACCATTCAAACACGGTACGCCCAACAATTTGCCAGACTGTCAGAGGTTGTCTCCAATGAGAGCGGCCTCAAGCTGTCCGTGGCCATCGCACTCTTCGCTGCAGCTAACATTGCGCTCTCGCAGCCCTACATGCAAAAGCAGGCGTCCTGTCTGAATTCTGGCTCTGGGTCATCTGAGAATCTGTTGTGGAGAGGGGAACGTTGAGACTACCAGCATGTGGCACACGACCAAGCAGGGTTCGAAAGTTGTTTGTCGCCGGGCTCCTTTTGTCATGTTGTGGTACGGCCATACGAAGAGTCGCAACAACATGGATCACGGAATATACGCTGAGGTAAGGGAGAGGAGGTCTAGGACAGTAAGGTCCAGCGCTGTTGGAAAAGCAGTGGTAAGCTGCAGATGTGGTGGTCGTCGTAGGGGGAGAAGTAGTATTTGCAGCTTGAGTAGTCGTCGTCGTAGTGGTAGCAGTCGTAGCAGTCGTAGTCGTAGCAGTCGTAGTAGTCGTAGTAGTCGTAGTAGTCAGTAGTCGTAGTAGTCGTAGTAGTCGTCGTAATCGTGCTAGTCTTCGTCGTCGCCGCCGTCGTCGTCGTAGTAGTAGTAGTAGTGTAGTATAGTAGCAGTAGCAGCAGCAGCAGCAGCAGCAGCAGCAGCAGCAGCAGTAGTAGTAGTAGTAGTAGTAGTTGTAGTCGTAGTAGTAGTAGTAGTAGTAGTAGTAGTAGCAGTAGTAGTAGTAGTAGTAGTAGCAGTAGCAGGAGTAGTAGTAGCAGTAGTAGTAGTAGTAGTAGTGGCAGTGGTAGTGGTACTTGTGGTAGAAGTGGTAGGTAGTAGTGGTAGTCGTCATATAATAGTGGGAGAAGTGAGAGTAGTGGTAGCAGTGGTAGCCGTGGAGTATGTCGCAATAGTAGTGTGTTCTTGCTGATGTTGGCCCATGCCGATATTGATATCAGATTTGCCAAAGCAAGATTTCACATCAGCAAGGTGTTTCAGCGCGGACTAACAGGACCAGGAAATAGATACATACTTGCTGAATTACATGCTCCTCAATCTTGTAAGTAGTCAATTATTTAATTTAAGACTGAACGATCAGTAAATCCGTATATGAGAATCAAACCACATAGCCATTTGAACGCAGTACTTGTCCTTCAAAACTAGGAAATCCTTAAAGTCGTTTTGGATTGAATATTCTTCTATATGACTTCAAGTATCGAAACCGAAAAGCAATTCAGCAATTCTTTTCCCTTCAAACCTAGGAAATCCTGAAGTCTTCATTACATCATGACCCGAAGAAGAGATGCGTAGAGGTGTGTAGCAATTTGCAATCGTTGCAGCACCGCCAGAAGCAGCCAGTCGCAATCTCAGTAGAAGGACTTCGTCGTGGTAATTGTTAGTGGCAGTCGCAGCAGAAGGAGCACCCCCTTGTCCCCATGCGATGCAACAACGATTACAAGTAGCGCACTTGTACCCCAAGGTAGTGGAATCACAGTACCACGTATTGATGGACTTGCACTCCCAAGGTAGCGGAAACCTTGATGGAAAAGTTCCTTTTAGTTGGTTGGATGGCGTAGAGGGAACAGCAAAGGATTCTCTCAGCATGCTCGTGTCTCCCAAGGGAACAACAAGTCAGGCAGCTGCAATCACGTCGATGTGTCTGAGCAAGCACCTGTCTTGAGCAGGTGAACATACTGCAGTGCTTCGGTTTCTTGTGCTGCTTGGATCACATAGCTGCTCTGATTTGGTTTTGGAGGCTACGGGGCCAGGAGTTGCATTACATCGCCAAAGCCATGGAAGAAACGCACATCAAAGTCCGAAGAGATTCCCAAGCCCCGTAAATCCTAAACCATCCTAGATGGAGCCTATTTGCGTAGGCCTAATCTCATAGGATCATAGGGGTTCTATCCCACAAACCCGAAGCCCAAATTGCCCAGACGTGATGACACTGTTGATGGACAAAATCCTGCATGACCCATAATAAGGAATATACCATAATTCCCATAGTTTAGGGTCCGTAAGGTAATGCAGGATTTATATCATCAACTACACCCTAAACCCTAAACCCCGCAACCCCTAAACCCTATTTGAGGCCTGGCGTGTGCCGCTGTGGGCTTCCACCAGCGCTGGGCCTGGCTCACCCGCAGCACCCTCGTGCTGCCCTTCCTGCTGGCCGGGGCTGCAATTACTTAGGGGCCAAAAAGCACATAAGCATAAGCATTTTATAGGGACATCCCAACCTTAGTGGGCTTCATTATAAGGGGGTTTATATGGGATATCCCTATCCTAATTTTTGCTTATGTGCTTTTTTGGGGCGCTAATTACGCTTTGCGGTCTTTTGATGTCTTGTGTCATATATAGACTGTAAAGAGTACGTAGTTCTAGATCGCCCAAAAGGATACGAAAAGAAGCACCCAACGTTGGAATTTGTGTCCTACACCCTAAATCTTCAGCACACGGATTGTGAGCATATGATGCAAGAGTTGTGCTTCACATTTGCCACAGCCGAGCGGTTGGTGAGGCAGCCGCTCTGTCGTTGCACCCTGACAGCCCTGCCATGCTGGCATCGCGGCTCTTTAAGGACCCGCGCTTTGTGCCGGGTTTTGGGGTTTGCAATAGCTACTTGAGAGTGTGTGGCACATGGTGCTTGATTTACTGGCGGTCTGAGCGGCTTAAATGGACTTCTTGCACGTCGGAATAGAGCTGGTGCACCATAAACTCAGCTCCTACCCACATCTTCCAAGTTATGATGCCGCATCTTGGAGTTTCTGGATCATCGGTCGAAGGCAGCAGAGTCAGGAAGTTGAATACTGCTGAAGAATTTCGGCGAGTTTCGCCACATTGGCTTTGCAATCTTTTGGGGTTTAGGGGGCGTTCTCTGCAAAGGGCTGGAGAATGCTTCCTGCTGCATGACCGTGACCTTGGCAGGAGATATGTTCGCAGTTGGACGACCTTCAAGCAGGAAAGTCCATCCAGCTGCGCCCTGGCAACATCGGGTGTCGCACAGAGCCTAGATGCCTAGCCAGGACCTTCAGCAAATCGTACAAGAAAGAACAACCGGAGCAATGGACATGAACGTACATCAAGTCACCGTCGTAGTCGTGGTCGTAGCACCGATTGCAATTTTCAGCTATGAGGCCTCGCTGTCTTTCAGCATACATAATTGCGGGGCTTGTATACCTGTCTGGAGAACCTGTGACCGTCGGAGTTGCCATGTTCTGAGCAGTTGTTGCGCCTGCCGCCGTGCTCCAGTGAAGGAACGTGGAACTGGCAAACTTCATCTGAGATGTGCTGGGTCTGCTCAGCTTGTCTCCGACAGCAGACCATGGTGGCTGCAATGATGCGCACACAAAGCGGTGCAAATCAAGCACCGAAGATCTCCTCGCGTTCGTTGCTCTTTCACGTCACAAAAAAGCGTTAGATGTGAATGTTTGAGGAGTCAGTACAACCCGAGTGTCCAGAAAATAAACCTGAGCTGGATCTTCGATTTCTGTGGCCTGGGGTTTTAGGCTTCAGTGAAGTTTCGGGTGTTGGGGTATAGCAAGGCTTCAATGTTGCTGGCTGCCAAAGTGCGGCTGAGGGCGGTTTAGCATTTAAGGTTTTGGACGTAGGTTTGGAGCACCGAAATCCCTTGGTGTCTGTTTGAGTTGGGAAAGCTCATACGAGGATCAGGGAGCCACAAGCCAAGGCATACCGGTTCTCCAGAACCATCTACTTGGAAGATCATGAGACTTAGTGAGTAAGGTTATAAGTACCCTAATTGGGGTTCTAAGTATAGCTACCCTAGTAATGACTCTAAGCAGAGCAATAGGCCCAGATGCAGAAAGGCTTATGCCAACGCGGGTTGCTGACTGAAGCTGAAGCTTTAGGGTACGAGGCTTGCTCCTTGAATGCACGCCTGGCTAAGTTGGAAACGCTTTCGCTGAAGTGCTGCGAATTGAATCGCTTTTGGCTGATTTAGCCTGACCATTTCCGTGTTGCATAGGCACTTTTGCTGCAGTTGTAGTGCATCCCCACACCGGCTGTTTATTGCAGTACGTATTGTACCATATCATGCACTGTAGTATGATGTTGTCCTTCTTTTGAACTTCTCTGTTCTTGCATCCCTTTGCTTCTGCCCTTCACTCCCTTACTATTATTTCTGTGCTTATAGATATTGTACCAGCTTTGCTGCTTTTGGATTGCTTCGTGGTGCCTCGAAACCCGAGCCTGTGCAAACCCTGAACCCTGCAGTAAGCGTGCACCCCAAGGACCCTGAGCTAGACTGAGCAATTTCAATGCCCCATAGATCCCCTAACGTCCTTGTCCGTAAACTTTTTGCAAAACCGAATCCCCTTAAAACAACACCCTGCATCTAAGCATGCACCCCTAAACTCTCTACATCCCACAGGGGAAACGAAGCCCGGCTTCGACCCGGAGAGCCCTGACAAGGCTCTACCGGCTCCGGAGTGCTGCAAGCTTGCGGGGTGGGGTTTGGGCTTCAGGGATTGAGGGGTTTAGGAGTGTGGTGGTTTAGGGTTTAGGGTGTAGGGCTTTGTGGGGCTTAGTGTTGAGGGTTGACGGGCCGCATGATCCATCACTGAGCGTTTGTATTCCGAGACAGAGAGCAGAGGCAGCGGTCAGTCGTGAACAGTCCATTGCACGTGGCAGCTTCTCGGCCCACACATCAGCACGTCGACTTTACAGAGTGTGATTGCGAACCGTGCCAGACACATGCTTTCTCAGGAAGACCACAAACTCAGGACAACCAGCACAAGGCTCAGGAAAGCTCTGCAAGTCCGAAGCCTGGGGCCCCAAACTGAACGCGCGGGAGAAAGCCGATGGAGCCACCCCGGATGAACGCGGCGTTGATCATCGCAAACAACATCTACAGGCACTGGCCATCCCTAAGAACTTGCCACGACGAGGCGGATGTTGAATCACCCTGTTCACTACAACTGCTCAGAGAGGTATAAGGGATAATTATCAGGGAGACGTGTGTAGTATAGAGTGTGTCATATGTAGCTTCCTGAGGCGGACATTTTGGCTGAAACGATCAAAGACTTTGGGCGGGAAGGCTCTTCTGAGGACGTGGCGTTGTGGGTTGCAAAGGACGCGGATCACGACGAGATGCAGGGGGTGATTGAGAAATTCCTGTGCAAAGCCAAGCAGGGAGGCGTGAACCTTCTGTTCTTTGCAGGCCATGGTGTGGAGACCGGACAGGGCACGTTTCTCTTGCCTACCGATGCGCCAGAGATGGAGGACGGATATATGGACTTGGATAGGGCAACATCAGTCGAAGGTCTGAAGTACCAGTTCAGTGCCAAGGATCGGCGCAGTAACCTAGCGATCGTCTTGGCTTGCTGCCGGGAGCCGGTTCAGGCCAAGAAGATCAAACGTCCCAGCTTGAAATCACGAGCTTCCGCCGTCGCGGTTCTGCACGCGTGTGAACCAGGGCACGGTGTGGCGGATGCAGCCTCGCCAACAATGAAGGTCAAGCAGGCCGAAGAAGAGCTTGTTCGTGTTAACAGGCTGGGTGCTGGTCTCGCAAGGGCCCTGACCATCATGCGCCTTGCACACCGATTTCTAGGAATTCCTGTGCTCCTCATGCCAGTTCTGCAGCTAGCCCAGGGCTTGGCCTACTATTCCAACTACGGTCCGGGCGGGAAGGTGCGCGGGAAGGAGCATCCCATCCTGTCCACTCCTGCCACGATGCAGCACATCTACAAGAGGCCTGCACGCAACGCTGTTCCCGATGCCGCTGTACGTCCCACAATCATGGACATGAAGGAGGCTTGGAAATCGGACCCACGTGTACAACTAGATCCGTGCTTTCGACGGGTCGTACTCTTCGTCTGGGAACATGGCCATGATGACCTTCGGATCACAAAGAAATTGAGACGTCTCCTGGGAGATCGCTGGGTGTCTTCGTGTCTTCCATGCTTCAGCAAAGAGCCTCTGACCACGGCCCTGGAGATTTACTGTTGCAGCCAGCTGATGTATCGATTCCAACGATTGGCTTCCACAAGTCTTTCTAAAGCGCACTATATGAAGATGGCGGATGACTACATGCAGCGAGCCTTGGGGTTGTTCCTGAACGCTGATCTTGATGAGTACGTTCAGGCAACCTTCTTCGTTTGCTTCGCGTTGTATCTCAGCCATTGCTCAAGCTCCATTCCAGAAGACAGCAGGTGCAGGAAAGATGCGTGGGATTTCATGCTGCTTGCCAGCGAGTATCATGGCTACTGTGGCCTGACGGAGCTGTCAGCATGTAACATGCTAGAGGCATGTAGTTCTCGGTTGCGTCTCGAGTCGTGTAGCCCGGCTTCCGCAGAATTCGTGGAGCAATCTCTGAGGGGCATGAGTAGCAAGCTGCAGCGGGAATTGACGGATCGCCGGGTCGCACACCGACTGGCCCTAATTATTCGAGCTCGGATCCTGCAACACAAGTGGGTCGAAACTCAAACTCTTGTTGATCTGCTTTTTGATGCCATTGAGCTGTGCCCAAAGTTCGTCCAAGACGAGATAGCGAATTTGCTGCCTGAGGTGAAACAAACCTCCTCAGCAGCGTCACTCGCACTCCACACATACAGTGCCAGAGCTGCGCCTATTAATGGCTTACGCGAAGCCCTTTGCAAGATCGATGAGCTTTTGAAGAAGCTTGAATGAACCGATGTTAATGGACATTAACAGGGCTCCAGTTACCCCCAAGAAGCATGAGAAGGACTTGCTCGCAGATTTTGTTTGCTGTATGTCTCGTGCTTGCTATTGCGGTACCTGGAGTTTTGACATATTGCCACCCATGCATAGGGTGTCATAGGGAGAGAAGCAAGGCAGGGGATCTTTGCTGTTTCTCAAACTCCCATACCGGCACTTCCTGCCCAAAGGCACACTGGTGAGAGTATGGTCTTGCGGACTCTCTATGAAAGTTGTCTGACTCCATGCTTGAAGGACTGAGGGGACCTCGTATCTTGTAGCTCTGCTTAGTGAGTCCTCCGGTCCTCCTCATCGGTCATTTTCAGATTGCAGCGGTCAGTATGCTGCTGCTTCTCTGGTTTTCGTGTAAATACTTGTTTACGGCTGGCACCTTCCTGGAAGCAGTTCTTTCCAGTTCGGCGCGGCCAGTTTTGTGTTGTGGTGCTTGCTGACCTGATGGCCCGCAGAATCCGCGAATTTTCGTGGGCAACCACACCTGGCGACCTGGCCTGCTGCCAATCTGCCCAGAGAGCCCAATATCCCCCAATTAAGGAATATTGCTTAAATTGTGGGGGCCTTCATATTATGATTTAAGGTCTATTCCTTAGTTAAGGGGTATTGGGCTCTCTGGGCGGTTGCCCAGCCTTCGATTTCGTGTCGCATGTAAGCGAACTGTCAGCCGATTTCGTGGGTAAGTGAAATGCTCGTGCGAAGGGACCTTGAATCGAAAAGTCGACCGCTCGGAAGCCGTACCCAGAGACTCCATTATCCCTTAATGAAGGAATATACCTTAAATTATAGTAGGATCCTGAATATGATTTTAAGGTATATTCCTTAGTTAAGGGGTTTCGGAGGCTCGGGGACGTGATTCTGAGTTCTGGCCGCAGACCCCTTGCCACCACCTAACACGTCTTCAACCGAATCCAGCCTGGGGCCCGCAGCCTAATATTGAATTTTTCAGGATAGGTGCCGACACAGCTTGTCCAAGTTTTAGACGTCGTCACCTAGCCGCAGCCGCAAACGGGAAATCTAAAACTGAAGGGGCTGCCATGCACAGAGGCCCCATCCTGGCCAGAAGCCCGGGAAGCTGAGTATGAAGAAAGCACGGGGCAATCTCATGGACGAGGCGGTCGCAGTACAAGACACTCAAGACTCAAGCAGGCCAGTGTATCTGGACCCGAAGCCCCAAACCCTAAACCCTAAGCCCAAACCGCCCCCAAAGCCCTGAACCATCCTAAACCCTAAACCGTCGAGCCGATAGCCTGGCGTCTTCTCTGACCGTCTGAGTTGGGAGCACCCTCGCGGCGGGGTTTTAAGCTTCTTGCGGCCCTGCCGCAGTCCCAGGGCGTAAGGTTGAGGGTTTCAGGTTTGTAGCCCGTAGTATATTGTGCCAATTAGTTGCCAGCAAGTGGCTAATCGACCACAGCTGGCCAGCCAACACCGATGCAAGTATTTTCCCTTCAGTTCTCCCTGAGTTCCCTGATAAGTTACAAAACTACAAAGAACCAAAGTGCAACCGCAGAGTGCGCCAGAAGAATAACACATGCCGCAACAGTTCGTCCCAGTCTAAAGGCAGTCTATCGTCCCTAGGCTTGCGCAGGAAAGGTCCGCGGTTGCATCAGATCTACAGTTCTGCGTAACTAGATTAAAGTAGGAACCTGATTAAGAAAGGTCCCATAACACCCAAAATAGTAGGATGCATATAAGGAGCCCGAATAAAGGCCCAAGGTTTCTTAATCAGGTTCCTACGTTACTCTCGCCCCTCCACAGCACAGGCAGTCAGCGAGCGACTTCGCGTCTCCTGCAAGCTGCAGTCGTGCTGTTGTGGCAGCCCCGGTGCGGCCTTTTAGGAGCAGCAGTATTTCTACTAGGCTTCAGGGTTTTAGGGTTTTCCGGGTTTAAGTAGGGGTGAGGGTCCGGTCTTAGTCGGGGTGGGTGCAGGGGTGTGTGTGGATTTCCCCACGAGAGCTTGCGCTTCCACTTGTGAGAGCCCCTCGGCATAAAAATTCGGAACATCATGAAGGTTTATTCAAGTTGAGAGTGAAAGTTGGCCGGCTTCTAACAAAAACGGTGCCGGCGAGAGTAAGGGGCTCCCGTGATTTTTTCCACATTTTTTCCCACGATCATGCTATTATGTCGCCACCCCATCCGCCCCCGCAGCATGATGCCCTGTGCCCCTTATTACCACTTCTGCTGCTGCAACAGAGGTCACGACGTCGATGACGACGACAATTACTGCCACAGTTGTGATTCTGCTGCTACTGCATCTCATCGTCTGCGCGTTGGACCTGCTGAAATTTAGCTGTTTGGCTTAACCCTAAACCCAATGCCCGGAGCCCTAAACTCAAATTGCCCTACACTTCCCACCCGCCCCCCAATCTTGCAATCCAAGCGATGCGCCAAAGCTGGACTGGCTTGACTCCTGATGAGCTCGCAATCCCTTCGCCGGCCAGAGTCGGCTCATCGAACAGAGCCCTGGTTTGAGGTTTAGCCGGGTATAGACGGTTTGGAGTTGAGGGTTCATACTTGGGGCTCTAAAAAACCCCTAAACCCTAAATCAGGATAGATTGTTGTGGGTTTCAACACGATCGTTTCAGTTTTGGCCTCTGAGGCGATATGGGTAGTTGTCAAAATTATGGTCCCTTTTTGGGTACCCTAAATAATAGGTGCCGTATCATAATAGGGACCGAAAAAGGGACCATAATTTTGACAACCATCCATATGCAGCATACTTTCGGGAACCAACAAAGGCTTCATTGTAAGGGGGCTTATAAGGGATGGGGCCTATGTAGTATGTTAATGTTCCTGTGTGCTGTACTATAGTTGATGATCAGAGCACACGGCAGCACATGACAATGCTATTGTAGGTGGAGTCATATGGGGGCCTTAATAATTACCTACTGTATTTTGGGGGGGTTCCTTTATTAGAACTATAGTTTTGTGTACCACAAAACCCTATTCCTATTGTTTCTGTCGATGGACAAAATCCTGCATTACCCATTATGAGGAATATACCATAGTTCCCATAGTTTAGAGTCCATAGGTTCATGCAGGATTTTGTCCATCAACAGTATGGCTCCTACATCATGCTACCGTGTAGCTCGCATCATCGTAGCAGGCGAAGGCCTGCCGAGTCTGACTTGTGGTTTCGGATGAAGGTCTGGTAAAGACTTAGGGGTACTTAGAAATAGTTTTTTAATTTTTGGTTATTATAATCCCTAAGAAATAATTTTTGCTAGGGTTCTAAGTTCCTTATAGAAGAGCTGACTTGCCCTAGGACTCCAAATAGCCCCAAGTAGGTACTATTCATAGACTTTAGACCCCAAAGTAGGTACCATTTGTATACTTGGAGTCTTAGGGTTGTGGTTTCGGATGAAGGTCTGGTAAAGAGGGTGAGCCTTCTTAGGGTTTGCCTCGACCCCAGAAGTAGGCAAAATAATGGCCCAACGCCTATAAAAGGCTTTTATTCTGCATGCTTTTGAGGTCCAGGTAGGGTTTAGGGTCCTAGCGACTTGGCGTCGAGGATCTGCAGGTGGGGTCTATGGCGCCTGCTATGAAGAGTCACCCTAAACCCTAAACCCTAAAACAATGAAGAGTTTAGGGTCTGGGAAGCGTCCAGGCTTTGGTGCTGGTGAAGGTTTAGGGTTTGGGGGTGAAGGGTTTTGGGGGTTTGGGGTTTGAGCCGTAAACCTAAACTCCTAAACCCTAAACTCCTAAACCGGTATAAAGTATAGGGGCTGCTCCAGATGTTATGTAGTAGCTTTGATCTGTTACCGAACTTACCAGACCGCGCGTGCGGTAAACGGTATCCTTCCTTAGGCGATGGGTTCGGGCATTGATACAACAGCGCTAACGATGTCCTCCTTAGCCCTGGAGCATGTGGCCTCACGTCCCCTTCAAACTCGGCACACACCAAGCATGGAGAACGGAGCAGTCTGGGATATCGGGCCAGCGACAGTTGGGGCCTGCAGCCAAACCAAAGACCCAGAGCACATCACCAAACATTTGTCTAAGCAACATTGTCTGGTTTCAGCAGCTTCTCTTTGAGCACATATTTCGCATGATATCTGGTCTGGATTTGAGCTGCGTTGCTGCAAAGGCTTCGAACATTTGTTATGACTTACCAACCGCGGCAGTCAGTGTGCGTTTCTGGTGGTCTGAAAAAAATGAACTCTGTGCAAGTAGGTTAATGTACTATTGGGCTAAAGCCTAAACCCCTAAACCCTTAAACCCTAAACACCTTAACCGTAAATCCCCAATCCCTAAACCCTAAACCCCTAAACCCTTAAACCCTAAACACCTTAACCGTAAATCCCCAATCCCTAAACCCTAAACCCCTAAACCCTTAATCCCTAAACCCCTTGAGCGCAAACCCCCAATCCCTAAAGCCAAAACCCCTAATCCCTTAATCCCTAAACCCCTTGACCGTAAACCCCCAATCCCTAAACCCTAAACCCCTAATCCCTTAATCCCTAAACCCCTAAACCATTAATCCCTAAACCCTAAACCCCTAATCCCTTAATCCCTAAACCCTAAACCCCTAATCCCTAATCTCTAAACCCCTTGAAGTCCAAGGACGCCCCCGGCCGTGATGACCAAGCCATGCCGGATCAAGGGCCAGCGCCGATGTTGGTGGCTTGTGGACATAATAATTAGAATAGAATCATAGTAAGGAACCCCCCCAAAATAGTATAGGCAATTCTTAAGACGACCCAGAGAGCCCAATACCCCTTAATTAAGGAATATACCTTAAATCAAATCAGAAAATTAATAAGGCCACCATAATTTACACAATATTCCCTAATTGGGGGGCATTGGGCTCTCTGGGGAACGATCCGATCTGTCAGAGTAGTTCTGTAAATTAGAGTTCCTGAAAAGGGTCCCTTTTCGGCAGTATTCGGGGACCTAAAACGGGGACCCTGATTTGGAGAACTCCGCACCCGTGAGCATGCTTTTGACAAGGATGTGACTGGACTCTGCAAGAGGGATCCAATAGTCACCATTGATCTACCTGAGTCTACCTACCTACTCCCCTTGACGATGAGGTGTACCTGGTCGAAGGGGAGACGTTCGGAGGGATGTATCGCAACGCTGGGGCAGAGAACGGTCGACCTATTTTCCAACGGTACGAGGATCTTTGGTCAGTCATAGGAATTCCCTTTTTAGGGTTTGGCTTCCATGATGTAGCGAAACACCGACAAGAGGCTACACCGTAACTAGGGGGGGTTGGCGACTCTGAGGCCTGAGCCCTTGAGGGTTTGTGATCCCCTTTTCCCTTCCTGCAGTGTGGACCCAGTGGACTTCCTTTTCAAGAAGGAGCCCATCACAAGGGTTATGTTTTCTTTTAATTCAAAGCAGAGTCAAGGATCCTCCGGCCTGCATTTGCTTTGAGGGTGGCTGGAAAGTTCGCTTGGGGACAGATGATGGGACTGCTCAGGAGCATGCTGATACTAGGTCAAGTTTGCCACCGACCGGTGCTTGGGGACCTTTGCAGGTGTCTTGTCGATCATCTCCGTTCTTCGTCGTTGACGGTGCTACGGATAATGAGTCTGTCATGAATGGACGCTACGCCTGCATCGGGATTCTCAACGGACGGCCCAAGTACAAGCGACTTGGCTCACAAGCCATTATCTATTATTTCGATGGCAAGTGGAGGATCAACTCGTCGGACACATGGGGGTGGTACTTTTGGCATCCAAACGCAGAAGCCCGAATGCCACCGGTTGGTCTTTGGGAAAGATATGACCATGACGATGTACCTCAGGGGCCTCCTGCCAGCCTCACCCTAGGAACACAGTTCATGAGAGGAGACAGCACGCTGATAGTGCAACACCCCAGGCAGATAGACTGGTCTGCGAACCCGTCCGGTGCAGGTTGGGTAACTTGGGTCGAACCAGGTGAGCGACGACATGTCTCGCAGATCAGAGATGCATGGTATTTACATGACGGTGACGACAACCTGTGGGTACCCTTCAGCGCAGCTGTCTTGGAGCATACAGAAGGCGCTGACGCAGAGCCTGATGAGCCAGTGGTGGTGTACAGAGTTCGGGTCAATGAGCAACTGAGCACAACTTACGTGCAGGATGGCATGTGCAACTGTAAGGCGTTTTACCAAGCAAGTGGGGCGGATGCGCATCTTTTCTTCGAAGATGGATGGAGGTTATCTACTCCTGCACTGCCTGGGCTCACATTCTTCCCTGACCCTGACCCTGAAGAATCATCTTCAGGGTTCTTCCCCCCGACAGGCAGCTGGCACTCAGAGGGCGGAGAGACGGTAAGCGTGAGTTGTCGTGCGTCCCCATTCTTCATCGTCGGGGGAGCTGGAAGTGACGCGCAGCATTCTCGGGTCAACGGACGGTATGCCTGTGTTGGCATCTTCATGGGCAAGCCCAAGTACAAGCAGGTGGACGGAGAAGGGATTCTATACTGGAGGGACTATTGGAAGCTTAACTATACGGACGGCGCTCGTGTTTGGTACTACGCATATTATCCTGATAGCGACTCATCTCTGCCGCCGACAGGCACATGGACCACATTTGCATACAGCAACCGGCCTTCAGTTTGGGACCTACTGCGCCGTAGCTTCACGGTTTCTGTAAATAACTACGACTGATGTATAGAATCTTGTCACCATAGATAGTCTCATGCGGGTTTAGGGTCCTCAGACCTTGTGGAGGGCAGCCCCTGAGCTCAGGCAATAGGCTTGCCCTGCCGGCTCCTGAAGTTTCTATCGGCCGCACGGAAGACTATGGAGTCGGTGACCGCGTCGTCTTCATGCGATCAGGTCCCGGGGGGTAGGGTTTCGGGTGTAGGGCTAGGGGTTTGGGGTTTGGGTTTCAGGTTTAGGGCCCAGGGTTTTGGGGTTTAGGGATTGGGTGCCTTCCTCCCATCAGATCACGGGGTATCGGGGGCGTGTCTATGGTTCCAGTAAAGGGAACTCCAGAAAGTTGGAATATGGATTCATGGTAGGATCCCCTATAATTTACCTTAAAGGGTTTAGGATAATCATATTCCAACTTTCTGGCTTTCACCTTAATGGCAACCCTGATCAGGCTCTCTGTCCTACGGCCCCGGCTGCACGGCAGAGGTTGGCCAGATTCGAGAGGATGGCTTCTTCTCGCCCACGGGGTCTGAGACTTTATGGGTCCCTCTCTCGAGCGTGACGTTAGACCATGCCCATGAAGATCATGAAGGAGATTCCCAGCTCCAGGCAAGTGAGCCATCCGAGGGAGAAGGCTCACACGCTGACGTTGAAAGCTCTCTGGAACAGGATTCTGCTACTGGGGGCTCTGGAGACGAGGAAGATTCGGAAGGATCTGAATCAGAAGCAGCACCAGCAGATGCGTTTGAATGCGGACATGACGAGGACTGGACAAATCCCGACGAAGTGGAACGATTCAAGTGCCCGCTATGTCTCGTGGTCCTGGAAGCAGCCCTTTTGCTTCTTTGGCATGTAGGGGTAGCAAGGTATGATTCCGGGCTCGAGCCCTTCATATTTATCAACCCTCAACATGCCGAAGCCTACGTCTTTACCTCTTAGGGTTAAAAGTAGCTGTTGACCCGATCAGGCACGATACTTGGCTGGGATTCAACTCTTACATATGCTCAAGGCCCCAAATCCTCGACCCCAAACCCCAGACACCAAAAATAAATGACATAAAGCCAGGAAAACAAGAGGACTGCACTATTGAGTTCTGTTTGTAGCAGAGCATGCCACGCTGTTCTTATATTGTTTGTTTTTATGTTGTCTTTTTGTGCGCTCTACTGCACAGAGCCATTTCCGATGGCTTGCTGGAGTGTTCAGAATATTTCCAGTGGGCGAAAGCCACGGTTGCCGTCACAGTGCCAAACTTCACCATACTATCGTAAGATCACGGTCATGCTGTGGTTGAATGCATCTTCTGGTTTCTGGCTGCACCACTCACTCAGAAGTGTTGCACAACCTACTATTTCAAATTTCAGGCCTGATGGTGGCCCGAGATGCCTTGTCGCACCACTGCGGTGGATCACTATTTTGTGACGAGTGCTGGACTAGATGCCTGGTGCGAGATGATAAGTGCCTGGGTCGGGCTTACCACTGCAGGGATCATGGTTTAGTGTCAAGGTTGGCGCTTGGAGGTTTGATGCGTCGTGTGGATCAAAGTTTGTTTCTTCAGGGTCCAGCGTTTAGGGCTTGACGGTCGGGCTAATTCGTTCAACTTAACTCAGTTTTCCATTTCTATGTATCTATTTTGAATATGAGTATTACATCCATGTATCATTCTTATTAGAACTTTGGGCTTTTACTTCTCCAGAGGAACAAAGTGCATGCCCTTCTCTAAGCTGAGATCTTAAACTGCAGCCGCAACTCCGTGATCCAAAGCCGCACCAAGGTGCCCAAATTGTAGAGAAGACTCCTCAACCGTGGTGCCCGCACATTTCGAGCGCCGGAGCATCAGAAACCTCAGGACGGAGTAAAGGATTCGGTATGTGGGCTTCGTATCTGGGCTTTCTAGCACTGTAAAACCCCAAACCCTAAACCCAAAGCCCCTACCACCAGATTAAGCAACTGGGCTTCTGTGGGGCCGATGGGATATGGGATCCGTAGGTTCGGGGCCCAGGCTTTGGGCTAGCACGAAAGTGGCAAGCTGTGACGAGGTATGTTCAGATGGCAAGAAGTTTTAGACTTGCATGGAGACTGGATATTCCGCAAGCTAGGACAAAGCTTGATCGACTAGACGCCACCCTTGGGAGACGAATTTTCCAGCGAGCAAGAACATGACCTTTGTCCCCAGATGATCCCCAGCAGGATCAACTGCCCAAGCGGATGTGGAGGCACCTGAGCTGACTTCATTGGCTTCGCTTTTGCAGCTGTGCATCCTGTTTGGTTTAGGTTCGAGTTTCAGGCATGCAGCATTGTTACTCTAAACTACCAAACCCTACCTTTTTTGTAGGTTCTTATTATAAACCCTCATATGGAGTCTATAGAGACCCTACAAAAGTAGGTTTTGGTAGGAATACAGTTTCCGGTTATGTAATGGGCTTGGATCTCGGAGGCCTGGGATTTGGAGAACTGTCGACCCACTTCGCTCGAGTCCCTAAACCCTAAACCCTAAACTCAAGGCATAGGCGCACACCTCCCTTCGGCCTGGCCTGTCCTGCCGTGTCCTGCCCTGCCCTGCCCTCTGCCTTATTGAAGAAATAGAAAAAACCATGGCATGAGTTTAGGTGCCAAACCCTAAAAGGAATAGGTTTGGGTGGTTTGGCCTTGTTGGACGGCGTGGGGTGGGAGAATTAAAAGAAAAGAGCCATCCACAATCAGGCTCCAACGACCGGTCGTCATTTTACGACGCACTCGACATGACACTGCCGCAAAATATTTCAACTTATGCGCCACTCTACGGCAAACCCTAAACCCCAAAACCCTCAAGCCTAAACCCTAGACCCTAGACCCTAAACCCTAAACCCTAAACCCTAACCCTAGACCCTAAACCCTAGACCCTAAACCCTAAAGCCTAGACCCTAAACCCTAAACCTTAATTAAGCCCTAAAGCATGGAGCAGCACGAACTCCAAGGAGGCCGGAGAGGCGAAACCGAGCTTCAGCATCGCTGGTACTGTAAGCTTCGACAGGTTCAAGGGTTTAGTCGTAGGGAGTTTCCGAAAATTAGGGGTACCTTATTTTGGGGTCGTTATAATAAGGATCCTATGGTTTAGGGTGCTCTATTAGGGTCCCCTATTTTCGGAAACCCCCAATAGACTGCCATCGCTGTCTCATAGACTGCCATCGATGTCTCATCCCAAGGCCTTCCAAGAGCCCCGCCGAAGTTCGAAGAAAGCAAACAGCGGATGTTGCCACTACACTTGTCAATCCCCATCCCTAACCCCCCCCCCCCCCTCCAAACCTAAACCCTAAAGGCCCTTCGCGTCAGGGTCTTTAGGGTATAGGGGTTTAGGGTATGGAGTTTGGGGTTTAAGAACTTCTTCGAAAATGCCAGGTACCTTCACTCTGACCGAGAAGCCTACGCACCTCAGCGACCTCTGCCCTCTCCGGGAGGTTCAGTGCCCAGATTGCGGGGCTTCCATGCAGGCTAACGAGCTGGCCGTGCATCAGGACCCTTCGAGTTTGGGGCTTCGGCTTTGCGAAATCGGTTTGAGGTTTTTTCGGTCTTGGGGGATAGGGTTTAGGGGTTTAGGGTTTAGAGGTTTAGGGTTTATAGGGTTTAGGGTTTTACGCCTTAGGTTTGACGTTTTTTTGGTCTTGGGGTGTTGGGTTTAGGGGTTGAGGGCTTCAACTTCCGCAGAGTGGCCGCTGTACGGATGACAATCAAACATCATGTTAGGACCCTGCTCAAAAGGTACATAAAGCTGACTCGACGGCCCATGAATCCCTACGGGTCCATGTGCCCAAATAGTATCTTCTTGGTCTTTAAGGCAGTCCCTATGTAGGTGCTTTGGTGCCGAAGCATACTTTACTGTTTGGGTACATGGACCCTAAGCCCTAAACCCTGAACCTTAAACCCTAAACCCTAAACCTTAAACCCTACACCCTAAACCTCAAACCCTAAACCTTAAACCGCAAACCCTAAGCCCTCTTAAGCTAAACCCCGTGCAGGAGGAGCATTGCAGCAGCCGCAGAATCCTCTGCAGCCTTTGCGGAGAGCAGGTCCCTTCCCTACTTTGTTGGGCTTCCTTTTAAAGGGAACTCCAGAAAGTTGGAATATGGATTAATGGTAGGATCCCCTATAATTTACCGTAAAGGGGTTACGATAATGATATTCCACTTTTCTGGCTTCTACTGTCAGGGGTTTATTTCGGATATCTCTGGCTTTCTTTTTGCTTATGTGCTTTTTTGGGGCCCTACCAAACCCTCGCCTTATCTTTGGTTAGTAGGGAATGGAGGAATGGGGTAAAAATTAATTATAACTACTATTACTACCATTCCTCCATTCCCTACTAACCAAAGGTAAGTGAATGTCTGGAGGGCTCCCGGTAACATAGGGGCCTTAAGGAATTAGAATGAGGCTCCCTTTAAAGATTTCATTAAAGGGCTCTATAAGGGATCTATAGTAGGCTTCTAGAATATAGGGGCCTCAAGAATTAGAAAAGGGCCTTGGGTCCCATTATACTGTATATAACTATAACAAGGAACTCCAAAAGAGTATTGTAGTTATTTAAGCCCCTATAGTAGCACGAACCAAGATCTGTTTCTGCTTGTTTTTTTTCTTGGTGCTTCACCGACTGGAGGTTGGGCCGGTTTTCGTGGCTGAATGAATTCCTGGGGTCCGGGGAGTTCCGGGCTTCTTGACGTAGCAAGTGGAGTTGTCAATGCCGTCAACCCTAAACCCTCGAAGCCCAAACAGCATACTATGCACAGCCCTCCACCCTCCTTTGTGCTTGGCCAGGTTATTGGCACTGACATGATGGCGCACTTCGAGAGTAGCCCAGGTTGCCGGGGCGATTTTCAATTATCAGACAAACATCATTGGGGGACTTCACAGTTTGACTCTCTTGGACACTTGCTTTAGTTTTTGTGTTATTTCGTTTTGGTTTCTTTTGAGTGGATCTGCAAAAACCTATGTTTGCCTACCGGCCTACCTGTTTAGGGGAGTCCATAGCAGGTTTAGGGTTGAAACCTTTGGGTCTCTGGGGTGGCTGCTGGTTCTGAGAATTAGCTTGAAGCCCAAGCCCTCTGGACCGTGGGATAGCAAAGCTTGAGACAACAACCAAATAATATCTTAAACCGTCAGCCGTCTTGAGAGTGGATCCTAAAATGCATCGTAAGTGCCGTAAGCTCCATCCCCAATGCGCGAGGCCCACGGACTCTTTTCAGGACCTCCTAAACCAAGCGGCTCCTGAATCTCTGCGAGCTGACAATTGGGAGTTTCCGAAATTAGGGGACCCTAATAATAGTACCCTAAATAGTAGGACTTAGTAGGATCCTGATTATTATAAGGACCCCAAAATAAGGTACCCTAATTTTCGGAAACTTCCAATTCTTTTGGACAGCTAGCCCAGGCTTCAGAGCTAGGACTTTGTGTTTTGGGCACGGGATCCAGGATCCAGAGTTCGTGGGTTCTTGAGGGGGCTTTTGGGGATTTAGGGTTTAGGGTTTAGGGTTTAGGATGCTGTATCGTATAGCCTGCTTTGGAGCTTCTGCAATGGGTGGTATCCGAGCTGTTGGAATTCCTTATGACAGGTCTTCAGACTCGCAGTATCACCCAGGCACAGGACGTGAGTCTGAACATTTTGCCCTGAAGCAGAACCTAACGCCCTCATCGTCCTTTGACGTGTTCGCAGAATTCACGGAACAGTAGACCCTGAACTTCAACTTGGATGAGGCAAGCACTTTGTGGCCTTGCTGGCGAAGGCGTGAACATCGAAACGCCTTAAGCCCTAAACTCGACAAACCCGGAGTTGGATTTCATACCGTTTTAGTGGAAAGTAGTTGACAGTTCGTCTGGGGGTTTTGGAGTTCGGGGCGAAGGGTTGCCAGCAGAAGCGTACCGCATGGGAAGGGTGTTCTAGAAGTTTGGAGTGCTACAACCGTGCTCTTGGGGTATCTTAAGGCGACGAGGAGGGTACCACAAGCTTGAGGGTTTCATGACTTTCAAAGTTGAGAGATTGGGACCGAGAGGCTTGGAGCTTTAGATTCGTCCGGGCTTTGGGATTCAAGGCCAAATAAAACCCTAGGCCCTAAGCCAATGTCCGGCTTCAGAGATGTTAGTGGTGCACCGTCAGACAGAAGCATCTAGCCCAAATCCTCCAAGCTTCCAAGCCGTACTCCTTAAGGGATCCTGTAAGGTATCTTTTTTTGCGCAAAATGCTGCGTTTTCCCTCTCTTGGAAAAGAAGATGTTGTCGGAGGAGTTTGTTTCAACACATGTTCGGAAGTATACGATTCCTAGGTTCAGGATTGCACGCTGGTGGCGTTCATGTCCAAACCCAGGCCCCTCCCGACTACACTGCCACGTCATGTGTTAACTCTGTCTGCAATGGATCGATGTTGCTTGTTCAACAGTTTCCCATGCAGATCGTTGTTTCTGATTTTTGGGTCCAAGTCCAAGACACTAACGATACTGATTGTCCTCTGCTTTAGCAGCCTGACAACTTAGCAATACTGGTTGAAGGGGTTCCTCAAAATAAGTATGGTATATAATAGTAGAGCCCCGAACCTTATCCTAATTATTACAGCCCGCAGATTACATCCTAGGCCATCGTTCTCATGTTGCATCATACTACAGTTGGCGATTATTTGTTTGCCAGCCCGGCAAAGGTAGGCCATGCATGCTGTACAGTAAGCTACCGACCCGCCTGGCCCAAGGCTGCACTTCCATGAATCCGTGAACTGAAAGAAGCAACCACAAAATCGGACCAGCACAAGGTCGCCGCCGTCGTCGTAGTCGTCGTCGTCGTCGCCCGCCGTACAAAGTCCTCACTTGGAGGTTCATGCGTAGTTAAAAGCAGGGTTATAAGTCCCCAAATGTGGGTTATAAGAGTAGTTATCCTATTTATAACCAAAATAATACATACCCATGGACCTCCAAGCAGTCCTGCAATCCCAAAGCCCAAACCCCAAACCCTAAACTCCAGGCGCTATAACCTCGGACTCTGTACTCCTCCCTACCCTAAACTTTTAACCCTAAACCTCTTTACATGTATATTCAAACCCTATTATATACGTTCGTGGTTCCAGGCAAGTCGGCCACCCCGACCTTCGGGAATTCTTGGTTTAAGGCAGGGTTTGCCTTAAACCACGAATGGTCCAAGGTAGGTTTGGGGGGGGGGTTCTTAGGGTTTAGGTCTTAGGGCTTAGGCCTTAGGGCTTAGGGCTTAGGGTTTAGACTGTCGGGTTGAGGCCTTAGGGTTTAGGCCTTAGGTTCTAGAACTTATAAGCGTTTAGTTCTTAGGGTTCAGGCCTGAGGGTTTAAGCCCAGAACCTCAGGGTTTAGGTTTGGTTAGGCCTTAGGGTGAAGGCCTTAAGGGTTCAAGCCTTGGGGTTTTCGCCTTGGGGTTGGGTTTAGGGTTTACGCCCTACGGGTATTTAAGAAGTAAAATGTTTTCTGAATGTCATGGGAATCTAACCCTAAGGGTCCAAAGGACCCAATAATTGGGTACTCGGGTTTGGGATAGTAGTTATGTAGGTTACTGTTTTTGAGAGTATATGATTATTGGGTACTTGGACCCTTAGGGTAAGGGTTGGTTGGATGATGTCCGATACCAAAGTAGCAAGCTCGACTAGAGACTGCTTGAATTGGGGCTGCTGAACTCGACCCCTAAACTCTAAACGCTGAACCCTAATCCCTAATCCCTAAACCCTAAACCTTAATCCCTAATCCCTAAACCCTAAATCCTAAACCCTAAACCCTAATCCCGAAACCCTAAAGCCCCCAACCTAAATCCTAAACCCTAAACCCTGAACATCCCTTGGCCCTGGGGAGGTCAGCAGCCTTGAGGCTGAGGTAACTCGGCTCAGAGCCGAAAGGGGCCGAGAGGAAGGGACGGGAGTGGACTTGTAAATAGCAAACCCCTTAATTAAGGAATAGACCTTAAAGTGTACTAGGATCCATAATCTGATTTTAAGGTATATTCCTGAATTAAGGGGTTTTGGAGGCTCTGGGAGGGGTCGGAATACCTCCTCATGCTGTTTGTCAGGGTTCCTCTGATAACTAGACTAAGGAAGTATCATGGACCCCAAACCCCAATCATTCTGATTGTTAATGCGCACCAAGAGTAGGTTTGTGGTTCTCTGGGTTTGGAGTATGTTGGGAGAGCTGAAGTCTGTTGTTTCCGTGCGTGGGGATCTTTGATCGTTTGAGTTTGGGTAGCATGGGGCCTTATGGAGAGGGTCTATATCCCCGAGGGTCCGCCTAATCCTAACTCCCAGAATTTCAGAGGAATCGAAACGCAAATAGAGAGAATGAGAAGATGTTATGCGGGGTAAGGTGTTGTAGAGGGGTTCAGGACCTGACATTACAGGGACCTGGGCCCTTGTGTTGTTTGCTTAGTAGGTCTTTCCTGTGGAAGTGTGAGATGCAGATTGACCTCCACTTCCTTGTGGAAGCCTGGACAGTCCGTCCCGAAGGGACCACGGGCTGCCAAACAAAGTCGCGGGCTCCTCCACCAGGTGTCTTCTTGCCATTTCTGCAATACGGGATCAAGAAAGTAAGAAGTTTGGATATGTGGGAGCTGGGCCATGCCATAGATCATGGTGTTTTCCATGCAAACCCCTTGCATTGCCGCCTGCATGGGCGGCATCCCGATGGCGCCCAACAGGTCATGCATGGCGAGGTTTTAAAGCGCAAAAAGGCATTCTGCAGTGGACCAGCATGCATCGCAGCCCCTCCCTCGCTCTTCGAACACTGACTTTTCGGTGTTGACTCTGAAGAACGGGAAAGGGAGCCCCCATGTTTTGAAGATGCTACCGGGGTTAGAGAACCTTCATGTGCAAACTTAGAGAACCCTCTTCAACCCTTGCAAACACTCAGCCCGAACTCCCACTAAGGCGTTGTCCTGCTCACGAATATTTCTGGAAATAACCTCACTCCAGGGCTGATATGCGCTGCATTTTCGTCATTGTTCGGGGTTATGGGCCCAAGAAGAGGAGTAAGACTCCACCTCCGGTTCTTGACGATGTATGGTTTCCAGATTCTTGTAACTTACATTTCTTTCGGCACCACGGAAAACAACAACATGCGTCAAACGAGGCTTGAATGGAACCTTCAACCCTTAATTCTGCTTGTTGCAAACGCACTTGGAGCTGTCTATCTACCTATCTGTCGATCGATCTGTGTATCTGTGTGTGTATACAAATATGTGTATACATGTGTATGTATGTATGTATGTCTGTATGCATGTATGTATGTATGTATGTGTGTGTGTGTATATATATATAATGATATATTGCGGGCACAAAGATCGTCGGGGCCTCAGCTTTGCCCAGGGGAAAATATACATATATATGTATACATATGTCCGTCCGTCTGTTTGTCAGTCTGTCTGTTTGTCTGTCTGTAAGTATATAGGTGTGTATGTCTGTATGTAGCATGTATGTATGTATGTATGTATGTATGTATGTCTCCGGCAGCGTAGTGTGTTTCCGACCCTGCATTGAAAGACTACCAGAAGCCGTGAGTACTCTGAGTGTCATCAGCTCGACTGCGATGGTGTCGGAATTCAGGATGCCCTAAACCCTAAACCCTGAACCCTAAATGGTATGCTTGGATTCCAGACTGCTGGTTTCAGAGAGTCTTAGTCGCCAACGCGAGGTCCCTCTGCGGCCTGCAGAAGAACGGCAGCAACCGCATGGAAGAGGCGGCACATGATGAGACAGTCAAGTCGGCTCTATCATGTGAGTGGGATACTTTTGAGTCTTGTGGTTGCCCGCTGTGCTGTCTACTCCCGAATTTCCGTATCCTTGAGTTAGGTTCAGGTGCAGCGAAGCAAAACTTTCAGATGGTGGAGCGGTTCTGGAAACGTTGCCTGTCAAGCTTAAGTCAATTGCATGTTGATTCAGGTTGCAAAGGAAAGGGCTTTTCTGCCACTGGACCAGTTCCACTTGGAATACTCCCCGCGCCTTTTCCGTATGCTTAGATACTCAGCCTCAAGCCTGGTTTGTTAGGGGCACACTGATCACACACCTGCTGGCATGCATTGTCGTTTAGGGCTTGGGCGTCGGGTCGGTTGGGTTTAGAGTAGTTTCACGCTATGGGACTGAGGGTACCTACAGGTCTGCTTAGATGGATGCACAACCCTGTGACAAGCCATGGCATTTCCCGATAGCTCTTCTGAGCGGGCGCACTGTCGAGATCGACGCAGATCCGAACTGGCGACCTGACTCAGGCAGTGATTATCGGGTTGTACAGTCTTTTTTTACGATTGTATCAGTGTTTTGGGTTGTGTTCTGGGGTTTGGGGTAGTCTGATTCACCCTGAGCGTCCAGGTGCCTTGTGCACTTGGGCTTAGGACAGTAGTAAGTGCAAACACATAAGTGTTGGTTGGGTTTTATTAGAGGCAGATTCCCATTCGCCAGAGATCCTTTTGCAAGCTGCCCTGTCTTGTCTGTTGAGGACCCTGAACACTACACCCTAAACCCTAAGCCCTACACCCTAAACCTTGAACCCTAAACCCTGTAAACCCTAAACCCTAAAACCCTAAACCCTAAACCACTAAACCCCTAAACCCTAAACCCTAAAACCCTAAACCCCATAAAGCCTCAGGCCCAAGGCCCTAGACCCCACCTTCCACAGCTGCAACACGGCGCCTCATCTTCCAAGATACGGTGAAAGGTTTAGAGTTTAGGGTGTAGGGGTGAGCCCCCCGTGTCAAGGCTGAACACCGGAGACCACTGACACAAGACGCAAGGTAAACACCTTAAACCAGAGGGGACCCGCCAGTCTCGAGCCCAACGCCTCAAATCGAGTTTTTGTTATTGCCTGGACCCCAAAAGTATGTAGAATAATAGCCTTTGATAGGTTTTGGGCCATTATTTTACCTACTTTTCGGTTCTAGGGGGGTTAACTCAATTTATCATAATAGGGATCGACAGTAAACAAGAGGGTTTCTTTGTTCTGGTAACTTAAGTTAAATGTCTTAACAGAACGAGCTAAACCCCAAACCCTAACCTTACACCCTAAACCCTAAACCCTAAACCTTACACCCTATCAACCCTAAAGCCTAAACCCTAAACCCCAAAATGCTAACCCCAAGCTCCTAAACCCTAAACCCTTAAACCCCTAAACCCCCCCAAACCCGAGGTCGGTGCAAAGCCTCGGACTCCCCTGAACCCTCAACCCTCAACCCTATACCTTGCAACCCAAAACCCCTAAACCCTAAAGCTTAAACCCTAAATCCCAAAATCCTAAACCCTAAACCCCAAACTCCTAAACCCAAAACCCCTAAACCCCTAAACCCTAAACCCCCAAAGCTCAAGGTCGGTTCGTACCCTCGGCCTAGCGGCCCAAAAGCTCTTGGATGTGGGGCCTGGGGTCCTCCGAAGCGCCGCCGGGGAGGCGACGTCGGTTTCGGCCATCTGTTCGGGTTTCGGGGGTTTTCGGGGTTTTCGGTGGTTTAGGGTTTAGGGGCTTTGGGTTTCGGGGTTTTCGGGGGTTTAGGGTTTAGGGGTTTCGGGTTTCGGTGTTTTCGGGGGTTTAGGGTTTAGGGGTTTAGGGTTTTCGGGCTTGAATCCCACCCCCGTCATTTCCCCCCCCCCCACAGACTCAGAATCCCTTTTCCGGGGTTTAGGGTTTAGGGTTTTTGTAGTGTTGAGTGGTTGTCGGCCTTCGTTTTTGTTTGCGGGGCGGGGCAGACTTATATCGCGACTGCTTGGCGGGGAAGCTCTGAGAGGGTTACAGCTTGGGTAGTGCCTCCACTCAGTGATAGTTGAATAATATTCATAATATAGATATATTAGGACCTTAATAGTAGCCCTACTATAGACTCTTTCTGTAAGGGGGCAGTACCTAAGTTACAGCTGAGCAGGGTCGTCTTCTTGACAGGAGGACCTCCCAAATCCCTCCGCGACGAACTCAGGTGTTGGACGGAGCGCTGCCGCTGAAAGCAGGAGTCTTGTTGAACGTGGGCTGCGGTAGTATGGGGTATAGAGATGTTTAAGGGATTTTGTGCTTTCGGCCTGGTTCGGGGTTGAGGGGTACAGGGTCTTAGGTTTCCGGTGTAATTAATTAAGGTTTGAGACTTGGGGTTTGGGGTTCGTGGCTCGATGCTGCCCGGGTCAGCATCCTGGGTTTAGGAGTTTGGAGCCTAGCTCCGGATCTAACTAAACATGTGGCTGTAGGTGGTTCGGTGCCGCGAGTAGAATCCTGTGAAGCCCTGTGGCCACACTAATTTTATTCAGCGTTGAGTGCTCATTGGCTATGCCGTAGTGAGAATATTTGCTACATGAAGGTCGCACAAGGTTGGACCAACTGTAAGCCCTATAAGCCCTAAACCCTAAATCGAACACCAGACTGTCATCCCTGCACCACAAGCCTCGAGAGCTTGGCTCTAAGACAGAACCTTGCGAACCAAAGCCAGAAGACCTTACCCGGCACGGTACCTGGGAGAGCCCCTGAAACCTTTAACCAACATCCAACATCCTCCTAAAACCCTAACGGTACGGCCCCCACTCAGTAATAGTTGAATAGTATTCATAGTATATATTAGGACATTAATTGTAGCCCTATTATAGACTCTTACTGTATTGGGGCAGCACCTAACCTAAACCCTAAATCCGCAAACCCTGAAAGCCAACACCCTGGAAGGCAAGCCTTAAATCCCAAAGCAGACCCGAGAGAATTTCAGCCTCAGATCCTGCAATCCCCGAAGTCCTGAACCCCTATACCCCGAACACCTGGAGCCTGAAAACACCCTCGAGTCCAGAAAACTGGAATCTTACGGTTGATGATATAAATCCTGCATGACCTTAAGGACCCTAAACTATGGAATTATGGTATATTCCTTATTATGGCTCATGCAGGATTTATATCATCAACCGCATTACATCAGCCTAAACCCTAAACTC